GCACAAATTTTCTAATAGGGGAATGAAAGTAGATATGACAAAAAATCAGGTAATAGAGAAACTTTCCCCCACTCACTTCTATGAGGGGAGTTCCGCTCTTTCCAAGTCATGTTGGTTTCTATGGACGATACATTCGAGACTTCCAAAATCACCAAGCCCCTTTGTCATTTATTAGAAAAGGATGTCCACTTTATTTTGATAAAAAATATCACAGACTTTGAGCCTTTAAAAGTTAAGTTAGTCACAACGCCCATTATAGTTGCGCCTTATTGGGAGAGTCCTTTTAATTTTATATGTGATGTTAGTGATTATGCAGCAAGGGCGGTGTTATGGCAAATGAGAGAAGGTTTTTTCTGTTATATGTTATATCAGTAAGACCCTTAGTGATGCTTAAGTGAATTACACCGCCACTGAAATTGATCTTCTGACAATAGTATACACGTTCGATAAATTTAGGTCTTATCTAATTGGTACCAAGTGCACTGTTTTCACTGACCATACTGCGATTCAATATCTTCTAACTAAAAAGGACGCAATGCCTCATTTGATTCGTTGGGTCCTTTTGTTATAAGAGTTCAATATCAAAGTTGTGGATAAGAAAGATACCGGGAATCAAATAGCTAGCCACTTATCTAGGATCATTCAGGGGATTTCTGTTGATTCTCATGCTGAAATTAATGAGAATTTTGCAAATGAGCAGCTCCTTATTGTTTCTGATGAGAATGTCTTTATATGTAGGCATAGTGAACTTTATCATTAGTGATATTTTATTATATGATTTGTCATACCATCAAAAGAAGAAATTGCTATATGATGTTAGATTTTATTATTATATTATTAGGATGACCCATATCTATATAAGAGTTTAAAGGATCAAATCGCAAGATGTATCCCTTTAGAATAAAACCTTTAAAGGATCAAATCGCAAGATGTAAGATGTAATTAAGAGATGTCATGATTCTGAATATGGAGGATATTTTGAAGGATATAAGGCAATAGCTAAGATTCTTCAATTTGAATTTTATTGACCAACTCTATTTAGGAATGTGAATGATTATATCAAATCATGTGATAGATGTTGGAGAGTAGGAAATATTTTAAAAATAGATGAAATACTATTAAATTACAACGTAGAAGTAGAACTTTTTATGTTTGATGTTTAGATTTGATAGGACATTTTGTACCTTCACTAGGAAACCTTTTCATTCTTATGGCAGTGGATTATATCTCAAAATGGATAGAAGTTACAACTCTTTCAACTTGTGATGCTTAAAGAATATTTTCTGTAGATTTGGAATGCATAGGGTGATTATAAGTGATGGGGGAGCTACTTTAGGAAAAGAAAATTTGAGACTTTAGTAGAAAAATATGGAATTAAATATAAGGTTTACACTACTTACTATAATGGATTAGCAGAAGTGTCAAATAAGGAAATAAAAAGAATCCTTGAAAAAATTGTTAACCCTAATTGGAAGAATTTGTCTTTGTGATTAGATTGTGTACTTTAGGCTTATAAGACAGTTTGTAAGACTCCTATAAAAATTCCCTTTATAGGCATATATTTGGAAAGACATATCATTTACTTCTGAAACTAAAACACAAAGTTTTTTTCTGTGAAGTAATTCAATTGTAATTTAATAGATTCGACACAAAAATGTTTACGACAGTTAAATGAGTTGGAAGTAATTAGGGAAGATGCCTATTAAAATGTCAAGCTATATAAAGTAAGTTGAAGAGATACACTATTAGAAGCTCCTTAGGAAAAAAATTTGAGCATGGACAACATGTTTTATTGTATAATTTCTTATTGAAATTATTTTCCAAAAATCTTAAATCTAGGTGGTTGGGTCCATTTACAATAGTAAAGGTTTACTCTCTCAGAGTTGTTAATATTGAGGATAAGAATAGTGGAACGGTTTTAAGGTGAATGGTCAGAGACTTAAGTTATACTTTGAGGGAGATAGAATTGACCATAGAGAGACTTTGATATTGGGTCATCCTGATTGATAGAACTGGCATTGTCTGACCAAGGACATTAAATCAAGCGCTTCTTAGGAGTTAACCCATGTGTATCAGTGTGATTGATTGAGTTTTCTTTTGTTTATGTTTGTGTTTAGCTGGCTTGATTGTGGTTTGTTTTGTCATTTAATTACGAATTTGATTGCAGGAACTGGAAAAATTCTGGGTTGGGCGCTTAGACCCACCTTTGAGCACCACTTCTGCATGCTGGAGCGCTTTGGCGCTAGCAGGTATTGCTTTTGCGCTATCTTCCTGGCTAGCAGCTAAGCGCCAGTCAACTCAGAATTCAAATCCGGACCAGAGCCTAAGTGTCGAGCTTTTTACCTAAAACACAATTTTTACCTGTTTTGTATCATTCCTTCTTTGGCTTTTCTTTGGTCTTCTTGTACGTGCGCATGTTCTTCAGTTCTCACAATCTCTTGAGCTCTAATAAACTGAAAAGGCCTCTATTTTTGAAGAGGAAGAAAGGAGGCTAGTTCTTGGATCCTTGGGTGAATTTCTTCTTTTGAGTTCTTTCATTCCGTAGTTTCTTTAGCTCGTTGGTATTTCCTCCTTGGGTTGGGTTGTGAGAGATCTAATCATTTTCCTCAAGGATTTCTTAGCCTTACTTCGTGCTTTTCACTTTCAATCCTTATTTAGTTGTTTTTTATCTTCCTCCTCCATGTTCATGGCACCAAAAACGGAAGGGGGAAAGTAGAACACATTATTTGATAATAGAAAATTCGTTAGCGCCAAAGCTGAAGGGCACTATAACGATTTTCTGGTATAAAAGAAGTTCATACCGGACGATTTTTTTCAGCCCAGGGGTCGGGTTCAAGGAGTGATTGACATGAGGGATTGAGAGATATTTTGCTATGAGATCGGTGTTGCGGTGATTCTCGTGGTTTGGAAATTTTTGACAAACTTGAAAGAGACCAAGGGAGACAAAGTCTTTACTAGAGGAAAAGTGGTTGATTTCTCTTCGGAGAAAACTAACGCCCTTTTCAATCTACCAAATTGGATGAGGAAAAGTGGTTTATTTCTCGCATTTTATGCCCCTTCTGATTTTGAGTTGGATGAGATAATCAGGCATCTTCTTGATGGTAGGGGAGAGTGGAAAGTGAGGGAGAAGTGAAACATAAAATCTTGAATTCTTTATTGAATAGTGAGGGTATTTGTTAAAGGTAAACGCAATTTGAAATTTTGAGAATATATAAATAGGTAACATATATATCTAGGACAATTAAATTGAATGAGTTAGCATCTAAATAATGATATTTGACCAATGTTATTCTCAATCTATATAATCAATTCTAGGTCATTTATCTGTAGGTTAACTACTTATAAGTAGATATACGATATTAAAAACTGTCTCTATTTAAGCATAACAGAATAGGGTTGCAAATTATTATTTTATAATTCACAAAGTATTGAATTAGGAAAGGGTTGTAATGAAAATTTAATTTGCGAAGGAGAATAGGGATTCAAATTTTCTTATGAGCTAATCCAGATATAGTAATCCTCAATTATGACCAAAAAAAGGGAAATCAACCCAAAAAAAAAAAATCAAAATGAAGAAAAAATCAAATCCAAAAAAAGGTTCAATTCGAAAAGAAAAAAATATATGTTGACGGAACCTTTGGGGAGAAGCATGAGGAGAAGCTATAATTAAAAAAAAAAATAGTTTAATTTTTCTATAGATCAAAGATTCGTTAAAAACTTCAACCTAAGTCAAATTTTGTATTTAAAAAATGAAAGTTGGATCAAACTAAATTGATTAAATAGATGACTGAACTTTTATGATTTCTATATATTTTTATATTAGTTAAGTTTTAAATATGTCTTAGAATGAATATATAGATTTAGATGGCTTATGAAGAATTCAGGACTTTAGTGGTTGGCTATAAAGGTTGAATTTGAAGGAAATATATGTTTGCTAATATTTGCATATTCTTAACGTTCAATTTGCACTTGTTCGTTAACCATTGCCCAACACTATATGCATTGCTAATAAATTAATTTTAGGTTTTTAGAAGTACTTGAGAGCAAGTAATCTTTAAGTTTGATGGATTTTGACATGCATATGAAATGTGCTTATTTGTTGTTTTGTTTTCATTTTTTTTATATGTTTATGTTATATTTTTTTGGAAGTTTTTAGTGTCTGTTGCGGGACTTTGGGAATGAGGTTGATCGGAAATCAAAATATCGTAAAATAGGAGCAAAGTTATTGGACTAGTATCTAGGCGCCAAGACTGGGCACGTTCTTCCAGCAAATTTTGTCACCCTGACAAAGCGGTTGGAAAGCGGGCATCAGGAGCTTGGAAAGTGGGCACCGACATACCAGTGCTTAGGTGATAGGACTAGGCTCCTAGTCGCCCGAAGCACTGTAGAATCGTGCACAAGATTGAGCGGCTGGAAAGTAGGCATCACAATAGTGGCACCTATGCACCGAAGAGTGGGCACCTAATTGACACTGGACTGGGATCATTTTTTCAATTTTATGGACCACTAGACCAATTCAAGGGCGAAATCTCTCATCACATGAATCTCTTAAAAATTTCTTGTTGCTTATCAGGATAAGTTTGTTTTAAAAAAAGAATTTAAGATAGAAACTTTTCTTAACTTCAAAAACTTGAACCATTCATGCTAGTATAAACAATAGTAAATTAGAATTTTTTTTCATATTGAAATTCAGCTCTCTGTTTGTGGAGCATCGATACACAGAACTCCATTTTGTATGCTATTAATACGAAATGTATATTTACGTGAGTCACCAGTGCTTCGCTGCACTTGGATCGTATCAAATATTACGATGCATACATCACCAATGATGAGATCATGATGAACCGTGGTTAATCCATAAAAATAAGAGAGAAATGACACCATGGTGCTGGATGAACTTAAACCCAAAATAAAGCATGAAAATTTTGTTTCAGTCTATTTACATATTTACCAATTTGAAGGCACCAAATGAAGATTTAATAATTATTGTTATTTTGCAGGAGATAATAAAGGAAGATGACGATAAACTAACTGCATTGAAGGCAGAAATGGGCGATGAAGTATACGCAGCAGTCACCACCGCTTTGCTGGAGATGAACGAGTATAATCCAAGTGGCAGATATGTCGTCTCTGAACTCTGGAGCTTTAAAGAAGGGCGCAAAGCTTCTCTAAAAGAAGTCATACAGTATGTCCTGAAGCAATGGAAGACAAATAAAAGAAAAAGGTGATTACCTTTAATGTTTATATTTGCTTGAAATCATTTAATAAGAGATATAAATTCTGTTCAAGTATTTGGATCACTTTGGTAAAAGTGATTCTTTTTCGCTGTTCCGGCTTTTTATTTCCTTCCTATGGAACATTGTTAGAACGCACTTTGAGTTAATCGGACTTGTTGGGCCAGTTCTTTCTCTTTTGGAGTGGATGGGCAGGCATTTATATTTTTAATACCTAAATATTTATATTTAGGAATTTAACATTTTTATTCTCAAAATTACATCAAAAAATGCATCTAGCATTAATTTATCTTGAGGTGAAATACCCATTTTTATATCCATATGCTTGAATACAATTTACTCATTAGCATGTTTAATGAAAGTGTAAAAACATAAGATTTCCATGAAATGCATGTACATCCTCCTTCCTAGCAGGGATTTACATAGAAACCATTGAATTCTTGACTATTTTCATCTGTAACACCTATATTTGCATGTTTATTTAGATAATATTTTAAATTTTAAAATCGTATTAAAATATTTATAATGGAAAATTAATTTTGAGCTTTACTTTTTCTACTTTATTCTGATTCACTGGCACATCGGTCATTGATGCCATTTTGATTGTTGGTTTGAGGATAGGAATGATAATGTTTTGTTCATTAATTAATATAACTTTGGCTGAAGGTCAGATATCATTGTGCTTCGGTCCAGAATTAAGTTGTATTGGGTCTTGACATCAATTCTAGTTAAAATTGAGTCAAGTGCTAATATATTTTTGCTTAGTGTTGGAAAGTAAATTTAGTTTTAGAATTGACTAACAACATATTGGGATGGTTACATACATATAGCCAATCGAGACTGCTATTTACTAAACTCTCCATATTATATAAATTTGATGTAAATTAACTTCGATTCTTGAATAGGGTTGTGGGCATACCGGCGAGCATTCTTCTGAAAGTGAAAATGCGAAGATATCAAATTTAGACTGATTTAAAAAAGACAAACGGAGAAATTTACTACCAGAATTTAGTGAGATTCATAATGTCACCATCGAAGTTTTTCTTATTTATAAATTTAAAATGAAATAACAGGTTCATACGGTTAGACAGGATGCAGCAGACTTGTTAAAATTTCAATATAGTCGTTGAGAATGAGCGTAGTTTTGTAATATGCTCTTCAAGGGTTAGATGATTATGGTAATGAAAAAATATTTGACTATTATTCATGTAAATATGAAAATATGCTCATTCATTTGGTTGAGTTTTGTTACTAGAGGTGTAAATGAGCAGAGCTCGAGTCTTCACTTGTGTTCAGCTCGTTAAAAAATATCATTATTCATGTTCGACTCCCTTATTCATGTTCGACTCCTTTGTACATTAGAGGCTCAAAAAATTTATTATTCTTCAGCTCATTTGTTGAGTGAATTGAACAAGAGCTGTTATATTAAACTATTCATTTAAATAAAATTTAATATATTTTTTCTATTATAATTATAATAACTTGTATTCAATTAAATTATTTAAAAATGATACTCATTATATATATATAATTTAATCGTGCGCAAACCTTGGCCTATTGCTGCAGGTCAGGGGTTCAATTCCCCGTGATGTTAGGTTCTCGAAAAGTGACATGACGCGGGCTTTTCATCATAGGGCCTAGCGCGTGGAAAATCAATATTTGGGTCTCTGCCAAATATCGATTTCTTTTTAAAATAATAATAATAATAATTTAAATATTTCAAGCCAAAATAAGCCGAACATAAATAAACAAATTTTTGTTCGTGTTAGGCTTGTTTATATATCAAGCCCAAAAAAATTATTTATGTTTAACTCATTTGTTTAGCAAACAAATTATTTAATGAGACAGAAGGCATTGTTCGTTAACTGAGTTGTTTTGACAGCCGCAATTGTTACCGATGGTTACAAGCTTAGCTTTCTCAGCTTGACACAGCCAGAACCAAAAATTTAAGTAGCAGTTTATTCAAACGTCAGCTACTGACATATGTTCCCATAAATAAAATCAAACTAAAATAAATTTTAAAAAAAATGAATTCCAAAACATTGAAAACAGCTATATTTCAGGAATCTCGCTGAACAAACTCAAATTGAAATTTAAAATTGCAAAAAAATGGTTCTTTTATAGTAGAGAAACAGAAAAAAGAAATTGACATGTACATATAAGACAGTGGAGCCAATCTCCAAGGCTAAGGCTAAGGCAAGCCATAATAATTGTTCTCTATACTGCATTAAGTTTCACAATAATTATTCTTCATAAGATCAATAAAACTAAATCATCTCCAGTTAGCTAACCCTCCGACAGTTCTTTTCAAAGATTGAATCTACTCTGACATTTGAAGCAACAAGTTAAGCAGGATAGATAACAATATTGACTGGTGAGAGATGGAAGGAATTCCATTACTGCGTGCGGTTATAATTCTTAAATATAAATCGTTCACAATTGCCGAGGCTATAAAAATCCCATTTGTTGGCAATAAAAAGCGTTGGATGGTGAGAGGAATGGAAGGTTTCTTGAAGCCTGCTAAGATGGTCAGAAAAAATAATGAAAAAGTTGGTATATTTCTCTTGCTTACATATTTGAAAAAAATCAAAACCATATAAAGGGGAAGAAGAGACCAAATAAGCATCAAATTCTTACACTTTTGAGATATGCATTTTGCATACTTATATATGAATATGATGATTAGAAAACTTTCGGCTTGCTACTAAAAAATGGGCCTTCCAGCAAAAAGTTAATGTCTGGGGAGCATCTCCTTGAGCTTATTGTTTCCCTTAAACTTCGCTGACAGAGAGAACATCATCACGGGGATGAGCCTCTTCAATGGTGACCTCAATCTCATCCCCAATCTGCTTCCCAGATGAAACAGAAGCACAAACTTGAATTCCAACCTGCATAAATTTAACGGTACAGATAAATATGAAAACAAGCATTGCAAATAAAACCTCCACCCCTTGCATAATCTGAAAGGAAAGAAGGAGATTAAAAAAGACAGAGAAGTGAAGGTGTAAAATCATTCTGTTTTACAAATGCGGCTCTGAATCAGATTCTAACAACTGTCGCCAGCAAAATCAAAATCAGTTCTCAATCTATTTATCTATATGCAAATATTGATAAATATTTATTCTTAAAATCAAATATCAAACAAAAGATATATTACAAAATACACCACAAAACCTAGGGCAGGTGAACATTTAGGTCAGTAACGCTTTTGGAAGGGAAATGTTCAACTTGTAGAAATATGAATTACAGTTGCAATTCATCCATGCCGGGCCAATATTTCCAGGAGGCATAAAAAATATTGGAAGATTTATATACATGCCGCTCAATTCATATGTATGTAAATGTCTAACACCTAAACTTCAATATTTACTTATATGCAACCTTACCTATGCATGAACAAGAGTATTTCACTTTTAAAAGTTAAATAGTGATATTTTTTATGTCATATGAAAGAGTTGGGTGGAGTAAATATAAAAAGTAGAATTTAGGTGTTAGATATGTAAATACATAGAAATTCGGTCATATGAGTGTGAATGCTCAAAAATTATAATGCACTAAGTTATCAATCTCATGCTGCAGTGTCATAGTTACCATAATTAATCAAATTACTTTAATAATGCGCTAGGTGTAAGATATTTTAGTACAGTCATGATCCAAGCACAGTTATATCCACTATTTGTTGCAGCTAACCGATGATGTGCTTTTGCTTCGTTGCATGAAAATAATACTAGCACACGCAAACAACACATAAATTGATGTGAAGCTCAAAATAAAGTCACAGAAAGCACAAGAAAGGCAGTATTCAGACATTTTCTTCTTTTAGTTATGCGACCATGCATCGAGGCAATCAATTTAATTATTTTGAATTTATTTCTGAATATTATGTAAAATCAATATTAGTGTTCATGCTTCTAGTGTGAATTTCAATGCATTTAGGCATCTGGGTTATTTCTGATCAAAGTTGACTTGATCAATTATTTATCATACAACACCGAAGTCAAAATCGTTTTGATCTCATTCATCTGCTATTAGAAGCATCTTAGAAATTTTCTCATCTATTTTCTAGCTATTTCTATATTGCCTTAGGATTTGTTTGGGCCTATTTCTGGTCAAATTTGACCAAATGTTCTAATTAATAAAGAGCGCATCACTAATTTTCCACATGCAATAAGGTCCAGAATTCCCTACGCTATAAAATAGTTTTTATTGTATTAAAAAAATTCCAATATGTGCATTTCGCTTCTCACCATACAAAGTATTTGATGTGTTGAAATTATATATTATGTACTTTAAAAGTTCCTACTAATATAATTAGTCATTTGATATTTCACCATTTGTTCCCATTGTAACATCCTTTAAAGCATTTGAGGAGGAATTTGGATTTAATTGCTTGGTTTTAATCATCCCAACATTTCTTCTATTGAGTTCTAAGAATGTTGGCTTACTCATCATATTAACTTCATGTTTATGAGTTTTAGTATGGCCTTCGATATGCACCCTCATCAAGTTATGAAAATGAATTTGTTGGATTTTACATCGTGTAAGTATTCAATGAATACAAAATGAATAATTCTGCTCTCATCCTATATCATTTAAATGAATGCAAAAATTTTGCATGTATTTAAAAGAGCATGGATATCATCATATATTTGAATCCAATAAAATAGCTATTAAAAATATCTTTTTGCTGATGGGGAATATTCAAAAAACTGCTCAAGCTGAATGTCATTTATTTCAATAACAAAATTTTTCTACCTCTCATAAAATTTTTTTCCTATGCTAAATAAATATTAATATGATGTACATGTAACATAGGTTGATTTAGTAATGAATAAAATAATTAGGAGGAACTGAGCCTTGAGTAGCATAGGGCCGTTATTTTTTATTTTGAAAAATATGAAAATTGATGATTTTTATATATATGAAAATAATTTTAATATAAATATGATTTTTAAAAGTAACATTTTAATTTTAAAAATAGATGAATATGATTTTTAAAAGTAACATTTTAATTTTAAAATAGATGAGACCAAACGAGTCTCACATCTTGGATAATTTGGATGATTAAGCACGATACCACAAGTAATACACTTATCCCGAAGAATAAACATATCACTTGTAGTGGACTCAATCACCTAAACTAAAAAATATATGACATCCGTTTGGTCTACGAAATATGAGGCCAACAAGTTCCCCTACCTAATATAAGGATTAGATATGGTTTATTTTACCTGGGTTTCAAGTTCCCTATAGTGACAAACTCCTATAGTTAATTACATCTTAAATGATCGGGGATCTTAAATATAGTTAATTACATCTTAAATGATCGGGGTCACTTAAGAAGACTCTCGATTAAGATCAGTGGTTTTACCTTCCAGATTTCAAAGTTTAGGTTTCCAAGATTGGACATGTGAAAATCAAATGGGAGTGGCTCAAACATGAACAGTTATTTTAAGGAATCCAAATGAATGAAGAGTTGGGGATATCACAGATCCAGGGAGAACCCCGGTGACTTCCCAACTATCCTATTGTTTGGTTTTATATCTTTGAAAAGATGTTCAATGTTTAATCCTGCAATTTATCTTAGAATGTAGGACTTACATTCGCACGATATCTGTCATACAAATGACCTACAAAGATAGAAGAATTTACACCGTACCGTACAGTAACCTTGGAATCCTAAAGATTTAGGACTTATAATTGTACAACAGGGTTGTGCAAAAGCTTAAAAGTGATATGTGAGGATTTACGTTGCACTAGGCAAACCACCTCGAAATCCTATGGGTTGTTATTTAAATTAAGGAAAGTGATTAGTTATGTGAATTTGTTTTGGTGTTGCAGATTCATCTCGAAGTTGTTCTTCTGTGTGTCCTCGTCGTGCTGTCCACGGTGTTCGCTCCAAGCTCTCCGTCGTAGTACCTCCGGGTTTGATATTTATTGTTGAGTTTTTCCTACACTAAGGTATAGTGTGTAACAGAACAAAAAAACATGCTATATAACAAAAAAAGAACAATAGAATGTGCGACATAGAAGAGAAAGAATAAGTACAATATGTTGTTAAGTAAAATGTTGTATTGTAAATTTTTTTCCTACACTAAGGTATAGTGTGTAACAGAACAAAAAAACATGCTATATAACAAAAAAAGAACAATAGAATGTGCGACATAGAAGAGAAAGAATAAGTACAATACGTTGTGAAGTAAAATGTTGTATTGTAAATTAAATCTGTATATCTGGGAAGTCTGCTGCTCCTTTAAGCGAACTAGTATGCACTGTATAAACAAAAGAAACATTGCCTAGAAAAACGAGAAAATCGACAAATGACTCACGACAAAAGGGGGACCGCAAGCACTCGAGTCAGGGCTATGCTCAAATATAATATATTTATACTCGAGGCACGTTGAAGGCTACTATCGGTCACCCGAATGTATAGAGTTCGCCACTCAACTAAAAGGGTATCATACTAAATCTAACTTAGGAGGGTACTTCTTGGCCCGACATCGGTAATTAACAAATGGACAACCAAGTTGTAACACATTTAAAATTTATATTTTAGCATGCACATGGATTTCAGGCATACAAAAAGAAAGTTGTATCAATTTTGCAGTGAAAATATTTTTATAAATATTGTATATGTTCTTATCATGTCTGTTTTTATCAGCTTTGAAAAGTATAGTTGTCTACGAGTCGATCACGTCGTCGGGCGTAGGACCGCCAACAACCCAAGAAGATACGGGTCCCCCGATAGTCTTGTGTCGGTGAATAATACTATCATCCTACAGTTTATCAGGTCCCAAGATTGGGTGCTGATGTCGTAGGATGGAATATCATTCCGCTCTACTACCGGCGTGCCTTTGTCATCATCGCCCTAAACCCCAAAACAAAACCAACCTACTTGCGACCTTACTTAATGATTTCATATATAGCAAAAGACTATATATAGGCACTTATGTGTTAGACATAAACACTGAAAACCAAACTAAGAAGCAAGAGAAAAAATAAAAATGGGGATGAGAAAGAGGAGGAACTGATCCACCCAAAGGAACTGATCCACCCAAAAGGAGGAACTGATCCACCCAAAAGATCGAGAGAATGAAAGGTGGAGCAACCCTCAAAACTGTGACAAAAAACCTGAAAAGAAGGGTCCAAGATCCTTGAATTAATCCAAGATGATCAAATTAGGAGAGTAGATGTTTTAGATTCGACTTATGTTAAGAAAGACAGAGGTAGACCTAAGAAGACTTGGGCTTATTGTATAAAAAATAATCTTAATTTATTAGAACTGAATGAAAATATGACACTAAATAGGATGCAATGTGGAAAAAGGATTCATGTAGCCGACCCCATGTAGTGGGATTAAGACTTTATTGTTGTTGTTGCATAAAGTAAAATATGAGATTAAGACTTTATTGTTGTTGTTGCATAGTTTTTATACAAAAATAATGTAAAGTTAATAGTTAATTAAAATAATAATTTATTTAAATTTTGGTAATATAAATACCATGTTTATGTTAGGTTTCTAATTTTCAGATGAGTTGACATCGAGGCAAATTCAAGCACGAGTTATTCAACATTGACGTGAGTACTTGTACTTTTAATATATAGTAATAATTTATTTCTTTTTAACTGTTTTGCATTTAATGACACTTGCACATGTTTTATTTTGATTAAGATTTTTTTTATTGGTCATTATTATGAAAGTTTATAGTTATTTAATCTCATACATTTGGTGTATGTTATGTTGATTTGAATGTGATGAATATGTGAATGATATGTTTTATAGATAGCTTGTATATGCATGATTAATTATGATGAATACACCCATTGATGGTACTAGTGATCTGAAAATGATATTGATATTGATGTTTCCAAAATTAACACAATATTTAGACGATGCTCCTGTGACGGTTGTACTAATATATAATGACATTGATATGTTATTGATATAGTAAGGTTCTTTGAAAAACATCAAACATTTTTATTGATTTATTTAAAACTTAACTAGCATACATATTGTTTTATTTTCTCTTCTACTATTGTGGTTTGTGAGTATGAGTATTTACTGATTTATTTAGTTCATTATTATTTTAAACTAACTTTTTAAGTTAATTAAGACGTTTATAGAAAACGCGAGCAACCGGTAACGAGATAATTTTAAATATATTGTCTTATTTTAATTTGTTGAATGGCTCTTATATTTTTTAAACTATATACGAGTATAGAAAATTTAGTTCCCACCGTATAACCGTCTGTTCTCGCCTTGGTTAATTCCAAGCTACAGACCGGGTCATGATACTCTGGGAAGCTAAGCATGAGAAGTTCAACTCATTCTTCGTCGAGAAAGAAATGAAACACATCATCTGTCAAAAGGTTCATCTAGAAATCGCACATGTGACAGTAATTGAATGTCAAAAATTTACCTGAGTAAGCCTTCCGACGAAAAACAAATAGGAAATATAGTGATCTGATTTGACATAAATGTTCGTCTATATCTAAACGAAATGTACAGGATAAATAAAATTACTATTAGAAATGTTGGATGTAATTTACAAACAGTAGGGTATTTTAGACTTCTATATTAAAAAAGCTACAACAAATAACATAGTTAAATGGTAATAAACAACTTTTTTATGTTAAAAGCACAAAAAGTTCTCTTCAAATGGTAGTATCTACTTTAACAACCACAAATTAATACCGCAATTTTTTTTTAAGTTTAAAGGAACTTTAATGAAAGGAGAAGCTCCCTAAAACAAAGCCTTGATTGTCTCATGACAACTCGAATTATGGCATTATTATTTACGTGTCGCCAATCTATGTATTGTCCTAATTGTAATGAATTATGTATTTACTTGTGTTTCCTAATTATTATCTATTTTTTGACTAAAGGTATAAATTCAACACAATTGATAGAATGAAACACAACAAATTATCTCGAATTATTATCAATTTGTATCTTGGAGGATATAATATACGTAATTTATTGATAATGATATAAGATATATTATGGAGAAGGAAATAAATCAAGATGAATTTATCAATGGCATGAATTATTAAAAAAACAATTTTCTATCACATGAACATATGGTTTTATAATTATTAGGTGATCATATTACATGATTAGAAAGAATACAAACGATACAAGGGTTCTACTATTTTTATTTTTGATAAACTTTCTTCTTTAATGTAGGAAATATCTCATCTTCTTTGAGCTCTACATATTTTCTTTCCTCATTTGCAAAAATGAAAATCCATGAAATATATTATCTTCTTAATTTCTAAAACTAAACCAAACAACCTATACGTTAAAAATCTAGGGTCCCAAATATGTTTTAAGGAAAATTGAAACTCAGAATGGAAATTATAAAAATTTGTGCTATCATGTCATGTGCTATTTACTTTGCCAAAAATGAAATTTTGCAACGAGCAGCTTGTTAGTTTCAACATAAGGGCCAATATTGATGTTTCAACTTCCAATCTAATATTTCCACTTTTTCTTCTTGAATATTGTAGGAAATTTAATTCATATATCAAATGAAAATATGACACTAAATAGGACGCAATGGAGAAAAGGAATCATGTAGCCGACCCCACGTAGTTGGATTAAGTCTTTGTTGTTGTTGTCGCTGTTGAAGGAGGTCATGGTTTCTAAACATGCCGAAAAAAAAAAATGCTCTATACACAATTAAAAGTCAAATTCTCATGAGATCTTGCATTGCACTGCTTACACACATCTAGGCATAGATTATAGACCCTAGTCTTATCACGAGTCTAAAGTTAATCAAAATTGCAGGATGCAAATCTCTACCCCAATCGGACTCTTTATATTCCCAGCTCGTAACCAAGGAAACAAGCTTCAGCTTCACATTAATTTTGCCTCCATTTCTTATAGTAACAGTTGACATTAATCTTTTGGGACATTTACATGCATGCCACACAATTCTTTTGTAGTTACATATCTAACACTGAAAGTTTGATATTTACCCTTATAATGCCCTGGTCTCATAAATCTATGCATAAAAAAGTGTATTTCACTTTTAAAAAGATAGTGATTATGGAATTTTTAATGCGATATTAAGGATTTGAGTGTTATGCATGGAAATATGAATGTTTAGGTGCTAAATATGTAAATACATAAGAATTTTGTGGTATTTATGTAAATTCTCATATTTTTTTTATTTCGTATATAAATACCTCGATAAGAAGGAGAGAAGCTATCCGATCTTTAATGAACCGAAGAATTAAAGCACCAAACTTCCTTTCTCTTGGCTGCCTTCTGAAATACTCCAATAACCAGTATCTTAGACTACTGCTTTGGAGCTTCTTGGCAACCTTGACATGCAGATTAACAAGGCATTGTATTCCTTCTAGCTCACCAGATGAAAATGGCATCGATTCACCCCTCAGAAAAGACTTGATCTGCAATTTTAAATAAACAGAACTTTACATTCCAAACAGAAAACAGTATAGAATTAAGGTTTTCAAAAAATATTAATCAACTTATTTTGTACACTGATCCTGGCTATTTTCATGGACGAATTTCATTCCTAATGCAAAATAAGTGCCGAACTTAACACATAATTTCCCTGCTCAAGATCATTAGTTACAACAGTTCAATAAAAAATAAGAAAACATAAATAAGGAATGACAACTTTTCTAAACAAATGTCGATATAACTAATACATAATAACAACAGCAGCAACAACAAGTCTTCATCCCGCTAAGTGGGGTCGGGTGCATGAATATATTATGTGGGCGCCTAGCCAAAGGGCAAGTTTATCCTTAGTACGTCTAAGGGCAATTTAATCTTTTGTTATCATTATTGTTGTTGAGTATAAATAGGCTTGTTAAGAGAATCTCCTACCTCTCGAATTGTAGGAATTGGGAGAGTTTGCCTACCTCTCGAATTGTGGGAATTGGAAAAGTTCACCTACCTCTCGAATTATAGATGTTTATAATTGTATTAGTTGTTTAATATATTGAAGAAATATTATATTTGGCCAAATTCTTATGAAAAAACGTGCCGATTTTGAGGTCGGATCGTATCAAAATAGTATCAGAGTAGTTATAGGAATCAAAGGAAAAGGATCGAGAGCCACAGCTTCAATACACAACATGACAGAGAAGACCTCGAGTATTTCAGCGGAACGACGAATCCCGTGCACTCGGGAAGCTAATCGTAACACGGCCGCAATCGCAAGAAGCAAAGAGAATGCGTCATTCAGAGCCGAATAAATCACAGAAGCGTCGCAACGTATAAAATCGCGAAGGGAAGCATGGGTACAGTCGCGATGGCAGTTCCTGCGTGACCGACGCTCACGATAAAGTCGTGATAGCAATGATCTGGGAATGCAACGAAGGGATCGGGGGTTACCAATTGGCGCACAACAAATAAGGAATTGCGACTTTCTCCTCCTTCCGGCTCACGATAAAGTCGTGATAGCAATGATCTGGGAAGGCAACGAAGGGATCGGGGGTTACCAATTGGCGCATAACAAATAAGGAATTGCGACTTTCTCCTCCTTCCACGTGGAATCATCGCGTGGGGAAGGATCGCATCTTTCAATTTTTTTCCCGGGACCACAATGCACTACTTCGACGGGAAGGAAAGCGATGAATCGCGCCAATCAGAGCTTGCAGAGTGCCGACAGTGGGATTGCGACGTGCCTCATGCAGAACAGTCGTGATTCTCGTAGCTAGTAAGCAATGACGGGATCATGACGTATAAAGTGACTGCATCCCGTCATTTCCTGTAATGCCAACTTCGAAATTTTCAGTTGTTTGCCTCATCCGACAGACAGCGCATGCTTTCGTCTTTGGTGATCAAAAAAAAAAAATTTTTGGGAAGAATGACAGCTAAAAATTAAATGATTTGGATCAATAATTAGAAGAATAGACCACTCAAATCAAATTTGGGATGGAGGAAAGGTTCACTATCAGAAAGAATAAGCTTTCTTCCACGGAGAACCAAATAAGTTTTCTTCCATGGAGAACTAAATGAAGGACCGATTAAAGTGCATCGGGAAAATTCAAGAGATGATAAAGATGCTTATTGAGATGCAATCCAAGACCCCACTGCCGGTTCAATTCGCAAACTCTACCCAATGGTTGATCGGAGATTCATTGGCTAAATCGAAACGAAAAGAGATTGAATGTGAAAAAGATAAGGAGGAAAACAACCACCACCACGCACCCCCTCTCTAGGCTCCGATTATGGGTGGATTAGAAATTTCTGATGGAGACAGTTGGGTCGAAACATGGAAAAAAAATTATACATGAGATATGGAAGAGCGCAAAGAAGAAAAGAAAGAAGCAGAGAGGTTATATGGCTACGATCGAAGGAGAGAGTTTTACCCTCAAGACATGGAGGAAAAAAAACGGAGAAAGAGGAAGTTTGGGGAGATGTTAGAGTTAGAAAGTTGAAGATGTCAATTTTTTAGGGGGAAGACACACATGAGTGAGTGTATCGAGAGGAGCAAAACCTCACGGTGAATGAGCTAGATAGAGAGGAGAAACTCATGGTGGCGGGGTTATATTTGGAAGGGAAAACTCTACCCTATTTCAGTAGAGAGGGGCTAGATATCTGATCCATTCGTGGGAGGAATTCAAGGAATGTTTGTTAGAATCCTTTCGAGCAATTCAGGAAGGAGACACGAGAAATTCTATACCTTGACTCAAGAGATGACTGTCATGGAATACCAGGAGAGGTTTGAGCTATTGTCAGGACGACTAAGTGAGATTTATGAAGCAGGATTGTAGTGAGATTTCATAAAAGGCCTAAAGCCCAACATATAAGCAGCACTCTGACTATTGAGACCGCGGGGAATGAGGGAAACGATGGAGCTAGCTCAAATGGTAGATGACAAGAATCAGATGAAGAAGACTAGCAGGAGCAACACACATGGGACTTCGTATCGAACTTCTACAACCACAACGATACCAAAAGCTCAACCAATGGAAGTCCAGAGGGAGGCTGCACGGGACACAAATAATGGACCATGACCGGGAGCAACACTAAAACGCCTTACAGAGATAGAAATTTGAGAGAAGAGAGACTAGAAGTTATGTTTTCGATGGGATAAGAAATTTACCCCATAACACTATTAAAAGGATAAAAGATTACAAGTTCCCATAGTGCATGACGAGAAAGTAGAGAATACAGAAATAAAGACAACTGTGGGGGAGGAAAAACACTCATGTTTTTCTCACCATGAAGACAATGTGTTTTTTTTTGGGAGAAATATTGTTATATTGGCACCTAACCTATGGCAAATTTATTTTTTGTAGGTCTAAGGACAATTTAGTCTTTTATTATTGTTGTTGTTGGGCATAAATAGGCTTGTTATGTCGATGGTTAGGTTTATGCATGAGATTGAGTGGTAAGTCTTAGGCTTAAGGTTTGGGAAAGATTTCCTACCTTTTGAATTGTAGAGAGTCCGCCTACCTCTCGAATTGTAGGTGTTTATCTTTGTATTCTAATCGAGTAGTTTGAATTATTGAAGAGATGTTGTGTTTGCCCTAATTTTTGTGGAAAAACGTATCAAGTATTATGGAAAGGTTGAAGTAAATTCCTTTTTCTCCATTGCGACCTATTGAGTGTCATATTTTCATTCAATTCTGATAGATTAAGATCATTTTTTTTATATAATATGCCCAAGTATTTTTCGATCTACCTTTGTCTTTCTTAATATAAGTCGAATCTAAAACATCTACTCTCCTAACTGGGTCATCAGATCGTCGACGTTTATTGTGACCAACCAATCTAAGAAGACTCTCTCTAATCTTGTACTTCACTGGAGCCACATCAACTCTATCACGGATATATTAATATCGCTATAACTAACGCACGAAACTTGCAAAAATGTAATATGGGAAGGTTGAAGTAAATTCCTTACTCCCACTTAGTAGAGAAGTGGTACTGGCATCAAGCCAAATTTAAGCGAGTTGCGTTGGGCTCTACTCAAATTTTGTGAGTTTTATATGGTTTGAGATCAACTCAAACTCGAAATGTGTATCAAATCTGACTGACTCAACATGAAACAAATCAATATCAAGTCGATACAAAATCATTTTGCATTGACTCGATAAAATTAACGCATAATACGTGATATTATATCCACAGTTTAAGCAAGCTCAAATCAAATCAAAATTAAATAACACAATAATAAAATATGTTATATTTTAAATTTCCATTAATATTTAATTCATAATTCATATAAATTTACATGCATAAATTAAACAAATCAATTTTAAATCAAAATCAAAATTTGAGCTTAGGCTCAAAATTTTGTTATAGCCAAGAATACAATTGAGGAATTGACTTGAAATGAATAATACTGATTTTGAATTGAGTCAAACTTTGAGGGAATTTCAAGATTTAACTAATATAGTCGCTCCTATAGTGAGATATGTATAACTTGTACCTATATCCTTCATCTTGAAAGAAAGACAACCAAATTTTCTACTCTCATTCCAGCCCTCCAATAATACATATCCCATAATTCTTTCAATTCTTTCTCAACAATCAATGAATCAAAATTTTCTCTATTAATTAATGATAACTGATTTTCAATGAATAGAAAAAAAACAAAATAAGAAAGAATAGAATCTTTCAAATGACCTATACTTAAATAGGTGAGGTTTGAGGTAATGATTAAGTCAATAGCCAATCATAAAACTTATGCCAAAATTCATATACCAACAACAACAAGTCTTTATCCCACAATGTGGGGTCGGCTACATGAATCCTTTTCTCCATTGTGTCCGATTGAGTGTCATATTTTTCATTTAATTCTAATAAATTAAGATCATGTTTTATACACAACATGCCCAAGTTTTCTTAGATCTACGGCTACCTTTCTTAACATAAGTCCAATCTAAAACATTCACTCTCCTAATCGGATCATCAGATAGTTTAGCATTTTATGGAGCTACACCAACCCTTTCACAGATATATTCGTTTTGCATTTTATCTCTAAGAGTCAACCCACTCATCCGCCTAAGCATTCTCATCTCAGCAACATTTAATTTAGTGCTTCTCTTTTATAGGCCAACATTCTGCGACATAAAGCATTGCAATTCTCACCACCATCTTATAAAATTTTCCTTCAGTCTAAGCAGTACTTTTCTATCACACAATAGGCCCAATGCATTCCACCACTTCAACTATCCAACTTGAATTCTACTAATAACATCTCCATCTATATCACCATCACTTTGAACAATAGAACCGAGATATCTAAAATGTTCACTCCTTTTAATGATTTAATCAACCATATTTACAATTTTATCTTTAGATCTACTATTACTAAAATTATATTATATATATTCAATTCTAGATCTAATCATACGAAAGCCTTTATATTATAATGTAGATTTCCATAATTCAAGTTTATCCCAAACCATTTATCACGTCT